GGACTGTGAGAGGAGCCTAGCGGGAGCCTAGCTCCGCGGGCCGGATTAAAAGGTCTGCCGGGCCGTATACGGCCCGCGGGTCGTAGTTTGCCCATTGCTGGTTTAGGATATACAACCCCAGTTAACACATAAAAGGAGAACACTTGGTAAAATAGGGATAATCAGTTAGCAACATTTAGCAAATTATACAGTCATGAGTAGTAAGCTTCAACTATTAAACTGCATCACCAGCAGAAAAGGTTTCTTGACTTATCTCCCTCTAGGCCACTGGCCCTGCAATGGTGAATGCAGAGAATTCTGTAAATATATACACCGGCATAAATAAATATCATTATTCTAATTTGAATAATAGTGATCTAATAGGAGAAGATGTCCCTAGAGATTGCAATTTGAGTCCTGTGATGTTTAGAGTTCCTGATATGGTGCTGTCCGTTGTCTTCTGTTAGCAATGGTGGTCCTCATAAACAGTACTGGGTACTGGTAATTCAAAATCATTAAACAGATAGACTTTGGTACTGCTCAAAGCAAAGATCTCCTGATACTGAGTTGTAAAATGTCTACATGCAGTGTCTCTAGAGTGATGCCAGAAAGATGGGAATCCACCCACTCATGGATAGCACAGCCTCCTAGGAACAAGAGTTCTTACACAGGCTCTGTTTGCAGGGATGTGTAGAGTTGCCCCTGATGGCCTGTCAGTGCAGCGTGAAGAGATGTCTGTGTGAAGACCGGATAGTGACAGTGTTGATGCAGAGAAGCTGATGTGATTCTGGTGTGGTGATCAGTGTCACTGATGTGCAGAGTCCTGTAGCAGTAGGTCAGCAATCTGTCTCTGGAGGAGAGCATCTGTCCCCCTGTGTTAAGCTCAATTGAGCTACAACTGTATCTGAGCTACCATGAACCCCCTGTGTTCAGCTCAGATTGAGCTACAACTGTATCTGAGCTACCATGAACCCCCTGTGTTCAGCTCAGATTGAGCTACAACTGTATCTGAGCTACCATGAACCCCCTGAGTTCAGCTCAGATTGAGCTACAACTGTATCTGAGCTACCATGAACCCCCTGTGTTCAGCTCAGATTGCGCTACAACTGTATCTGGGCTACCATGAACCCCCTGTGTTCAGCTCAGATTGCGCTACAACTGTATCTGGGCTACCATGTATCATTATGAATAACTATTTGTAACTCACATGCTGCCACCAAGAGAACCCCTATGAATTTTGAATAACTTTTTTTGCAGATAATACAAACACACTCTTCTTAATGATTGCATGACTGATGAAAAGAGGGGCAAAATGGGATTCTGCGGGTAGGATTGGGTCATCAGCCCGAAGTTCTGTATTTAAAGACCCAGGGCAGACAAAGAGTGAAAACATCCTGCAGCTGTGATAAAGTAAAAAAAATGGCAAAATGCATTTTTACACATGCATGCATGCATTCAGTGGAAGTTCTTCATTGTATATCTGACTTGCATTTTGGGTGTACTTGGCATGTGTTTTACATTTGGTATATGTAAAGAATAGGTAGATGTGAGCGCCCAATGAAACCAAATAAGTAAAGAGACTGAATAAATTATATTAAAAGCAGCCAAGCACAAGGTAACCAAGAAAACCTAAAAAAAATATAATAAAATGATGTGCGGTGCTAAGATCAAAAAAAAAAATGTCTATAAGTTAGCATATAAACATAAAATACTGATTATTGATAAATCATATAAAATTTCATCAGGTGACTATGGTGCTCATTAATCATGCGTCTTCCTGGACCCGGTGGATGTGCTTATAGGTGTATAAGCAATGCGCACTCACCAGAAAGCGCACATAAATGCGCGATAGTAATTATTTAGATGTCATCAAATGGTCATCATGGGATGATGGCAGGAATCCTAAGCCTTTCCTCTATGTGTGGATGGATTCTGAGGTGTGGATTCACTGGTAAGGTCATCCAGAGTTCCCTTTTATGGGAAAGGTGGGTGCAGTCCTCTGTATCTAGTGGAGGCTCCCTCTTTGGATGTTAGGATGGCTGTGAATCAGAAACTCCTGCAGGGTGGAGATGTGTTTGTTGTTGAACTTGTTCTCGCAGTATCTCAGCACCAGAGACATTGGGGCCTGGCCTAGTGGATGTGACGTTGGAACGTTCCTCTAAGCTGTCGGCTGTTTGATCGCAGTGCAGGAGGTTCGTCCCTTGGTTTTTCCCTTGTGGATGTGGCATTTTAGAGGCTGTCATTGCTGGTGTCGGCTAGACACCTTCTTTGTGAGTGCAATACTTTATTAATAAAATTTTACTGGTTTTAAACGTACTGCACCATCATATCTCTTCTTATTCCTCGAGCTTTGCCCATGTTATTGGAAGATCATTTGCTGCTTGGCTGTTCCATATGTGCTGCCTAGCTGTTCCATATGTGCTGATTGGATTACTATTGGTTGCTGTTCCTCTACTGGGATATCCTGCAGATCATTGCTCCCAGAGCAAAATGCTATCATGCTGGTTTATAATATATTCAGCATATAGCTCTGGTGAGTGTATTCATTTAATCTGGTGTCGGATTTGCACATGGGTGTTTGTTTTCAAGATTGACATTAAGTTGATATTGGACTATCACTGTTATGGTGGCTGGACTTATGTTTATATTTATGAATTCATTTATTTTTATTATTTATCCTTGCATGTTTTGTGAATAATTAGCGCACTTTTTATTTGTACACCAGAGACATCTTGCCTACTCAGCACCAGAGACATCTTGGTAGGCAAGACGTCTCTGGTGCTGAGATACTGCAAGAACAAGTTCAACGACAAACACATCACCACCCTGCAGGAGTTTCTGATTCACAGCCATCCCAATATCCAAAGAGGGAGCCTCCACTAGATACAGAGGACTGCACCCACCTTTCCCTTAAAAAGGAACTCTGGATGACCTTGATACCAGTGAATCCACACCTCAGAATCCATCCACCCATAGAGGAAAGGCTTAGGATTCCTGCCATCATCCCATGATGACCATTTGATGACATCTAAATTAATTACTAACGTGCATTTACGTGTGCTTTCTGGTGAGTGCGCATTGCTTATACACCTATATGCACATCCACCGGGTCCAGGAAGATGCATTAATGAGTCACCTGATGAACTTTTATATGATTTATTAATAATTATCAGTATTTTATGTTATATGATAACTTATAGACATTTTTTTGATCTTAGCGCCGCACATCATTTTATGACATTTGGTATATGTCTGTGATATATGTCCTTTTAAAGCATGTAAAAGTTCAATTGTTTTTGTGGTAGAATGGTAGGTCATTGTGGTAGAATCACCTCAAGGCATGCATAAAGCATAGAAAATGCATGCTTGGTTTTAGTCTTTACCAGTGTGAAAAATAGAAGAAAAAAAACTGAAGTATTATGACTGAATAGGATAGTGTTTATATTGATAATCTTAAAGCCATGCAAAACAAAGGCTACTGAAAAGTCTGTTGTATACTGCATTGAAACATTTTTGATTCAAATTTCACCACCCGGAGCTCAATGTACTTTACAAATGCTTTTCAGGTGCATTTGAAATCAGATCCCTAACATTAATGTACAGAAGCCGTAAGGAAAATAATAGGCACTTTTTAAGTAGCTATTTGGGCAGCAAGAAATTCTGAACACTTCAAACTAGGACACTTCAAAAAAAAGGTTAAAATGACCATCTGGTGAGCGTTATCCAAGTTGAGATTCTCAGCAGTCTCTGCATTCTGTTACAATATTTGAAATGTTAAAAAGTAACAAATTCAAGAAGAACACCATTAAAGGTCATACAAATACATCACACAAGTTTGTTTCTTTTACTAATACAGAGAAAACAAAAAAGGAAAGGAAAGAAAAAAATTAAAGTGTTACTAAACCCAGGACCATGCATTCACTATATCTGGTCTCCCACAGTACACACAACATGGAAATGCTATTATTTTAGTAACTTTAAACTGCTAGATACCTTTTCTCATCAGAAGTTAGAACAGTCTTATGACTTCTATCAGTGTTCAACAGAGCACTGGTTAAAGCTTGTAGGAGGAGTTTTATTTCTGCTCTAGGAGGATGCAGGGTCCCTGAACCTCTGTCTGGACAGTGTTGATTGGCCCTGTTGTGTTGATCACATGCACTCCCCTCCCCCAAAAAAAAACCACGTTAGCAATACACAACAAACTAAGCATGTGAAAAATGCCTCACAATTCAGTCTGTCTTTTCAGGAGATAAGAGGTGGTCGCTTAAACAAGGGGAGGAACAGAGCAATCAGGATCAGTCTTTTTACACAATGCAGAGGATTAAACCCTTAGGTTCCACAGTGAGTGGAAAAAGCATGCTTTACTGCACATTGATTTTACTGTTGTGGGTTTAGTAACACTTTAACCACCTCCCGCCCGCCATATAGTAATATGATGGGCGCAAGGTGGTTCTCTTGTTCTGGGAGGATGTCATATGACGTCCTCCCATTCTCACTGCGCATGCGCGGCTCAGGGAGCGCGCTGCGTGGCAATCGGCGGTGCGCTGTGTCCCTCGGACACATCGGATCACCGATCACGGAAAGAGCCAAAGATGTCAGTTCGGTCATGTGATCAGCTGTGTCCAATCACAGCTGATCACATGTAAACAGGGAAATGCCGGTTATCGGCATTTCTCTCCTCTCGAGCTGTCACGCTGACAGCTCGAGAGGAGAGGAGAGCCAGTAATCGGCTTTTTGCGGAGGGGACATGTACACTGATCATCAGGGCACTGATGATCAGTGTGCCCTGATGATCAGTGTAGCCCCAGCAGGGCCACCTGTCAGTGTCCATCAGTGCCTTATGTCGGTGCTCATCAGTGCCTCGTGCCAGTGCCCATCAGTGCCACATATCAGTGCCTACCAGTGCACATCAATGCCACATATCAGTGCCCATCTGAGCTGCCTTTCAGTGTCACCCATCAGTGCCAGTCAGTGCCACCTATCAATGCCAATCAGTGCCGGCAATCAGTGCCACCTATCAGTGTGCATCAGTGCCACCTATCAGTGCCAGTCAGTGCCGCCTAACAGTGCCAGTCAGTGTCGCCTATCAGTGCCAGTCAGTGTCGCCTATCGGTGCCAGTCAGTGCCGCCTATTAGTGCCAGTCAGTGCCGCCTATCAGTGCCATGTATCAGTGCTGCCTTTCAGTGCCCATCAGTGATGCCTGTCAATGCCCATCAGTGCCACCTACCAGTGCCTCCTCATCAGTGCCCATCAGTGCCACCTATCAGTGTCCATCAGTGCAGCCTATCAGTGCCCATCAGTGCAGCCTCATTAGCGCACATCAGTGAAGGAGGAAAATCACTTATTTACAAAAGTTTATAACAAAAACTAAGAAAACACTTTTTTTTCATAATTTTCAGTGGTTTTTGGTTTGTTTAAAAAAAATGTAAAACGCAGAGGTGATTACATACCACCAAAATAAAGCTCTATCTGTTACAAAAAAATTATAAAAATGTCATATGGGTACAGTGTTGTTTGACCGTGCAATTGTCATTCAAAGTGCGACAGCACTGAAAGCTGGAAATTGGCCTGGGCAGGAAGGGGGTATAAGTGCCCTGTAGGCTAGTGGTTAAGTAAGCCCAGAGTTGTCTGTATCACCTTTTATCTTCCAGGATGTATCCTTAGGAAATACTGAATTCAGGGAGACCAGACCTTTCTAGCTTTCATTTAGGATGCTATGTACTTTTGTTCAGTTTTAAATGTTACTTTATGCAAATATACAGTATGCATCATGAGACCCAGTGTGTGCATACGGTATAGCAACTTGTTGACTTATGAGATTCACAGGTAGTTTCAACTCATCAAGAAGACTCACAGCAGTAATCCGATTAATTTATCTCCGGACTAGCAAATTACAAAAGATGTTTTGAGGCGTTTTCTAAGATGTGAATAAGCACTACAGGGAAAAAAGCCTTCAGACTCTCTTAAAGTGATAGTACGGATCAAATTATATTTTTTAAAAATAACAAACATAATAAACTTATCTGCACTGTGCAATGTTTTTTCACAGAGCAGCCCCAATCTTCCTCTTCTAGGGTCCCCCACCAGTGCTCCTGGCTCCCCCCCCACCTAAGTGTCCACCATAGCAAGCCACTTCCTATGGGAGCACTCATGTTGGTTTGCAAGCTGGCTCTAAGGGGTTTATTTACTAAAGCTGGAGAGTCCAAAATCAGACTCCCTTCTGCATAGAAACCAATCAGCTTCCAGGTTTCATTGCCAAAGCTTCATTGAACAAGCTGAGGTTAGAAGCTGATTGGTTTCTATGCAGAAGGGAGTCTGATTTTGGACTCTCCAGCTTTAGTAAATAAACCCCTATGTGTCCATAGACACATAGATCATGGCTCGGCCCCACCCTCTGCTCCCCCCTCAGTGGCTGTGATTTACAACAGGAGCCAATGGCTCTTGCTGCTGTCTTTGAATGCATTAAGGTAAAAAACCTTCAGACTTTAGAACATCTTACGGGACATTTGTACTGAGTGAGGGTAACACAAAACATAATTCAAAACATCGGAAGGAAGGCGACTGAACTAATACACAAAAAAAATACGGACGAACATACCATGCACAAACAAAGATAATAAACGGCAGCTGTGGAAGTATAAATTTGTCATTAATCTGAACTGAAGAGATAACCTGTTTAAAGATTCAATGGACCATCTACAAAACATAAATTCATAAAACCAAAAAGTTACATAATGCTCTAGACTGTGTACCGCCGCGGAGAAGTTTTTCCATTGTACTGTGTTTTAAAATACCAAAGTCTTAGTAAAAAAACGGCGCGGGAAGAAAAAACTAATTAAATTGAACAGGGGATCTGTGCTGTCATAAACAAACAAATAGTACACATGAAATATTCATATATCAATGCAAGGTATTCTTTTCTACTATGACATAAGTGTATTACTATATGAGGGATGAAATACTATATGGGGGGATATGAATACTTATGAGGGAATTAGAATTACTTTATGAGGGATGAATCATCAGCTGCTGAGATAAAATACCATGGTGATAGTTATATTAGCTGAAATTATCCCCATGATCAGCAGAAAATACTGGTAATGATGAAATCATATGAGACGCTCAGTAATACTATATCGCTGATAAATACTATATGATGCAATAGGGCTGTGTATCAGGGAGGGGGATGAATACTATATGAGGGATGAAATACTATATAGGGATGAAATACTCAAAAATACTCCTACGCTCTATAGGACCAATTGCTATGGGGGATGAATTACTATGGGGGGATGAATTAAGTCCTCATATATGGGTGATGAATTACTATGGGGGATGAATTACTATATGGGGGATGAATTACTATGGGGGATGAATTACAGCAGGATGTTTTATATGGCTTTTATGACGTTTTTTTACTACAGCCAGTAAACCCCTCAGGGATGATTATCCTATGTGTTCATGCACGCATAGGGGGACTGTAATCAATGTGAATTTTTTGCTGGAAGTTTTTTAGTGTAAAAATGTGTGAGTATAAATTTCAATAATGTTTTGGCGCTTTGGCTCAAAAAATATATATAATCACTAATCTATGTCCTGGAGAAGTTTTTCATTGTACTGTGTTTTAAAAACCAAAGTGTAAAAAAAAAGAAAAAACTAATTAAATTAACACTGTGCTGTCATAAACAAACATAACACATATATTCATCATATCAATGCAAGGTATTCTTTTCTACTCAAGACATAAGTGTATTACACTGTACGTTTCTTATGAATACTTGATGAATTAGAGTCCTCATCAGCTGCTGAAAATCCAAATAGTTTATTAGCTGAAATTATCCCCTAAGCAGAAGGTTAATATTCAAGAGACTTCAAAAAATCGCTGATAAATAAATGAGCAATAGTGCTGTGTTTCAGGAGCAAATAAGAGAGCAAAATAGTATATGTGAAGTTAAAACCTCCTAGCTCTAGATATGATCATCTACCCAAAAAAGTCCTCATGTGTCCCATTTGATATTTTTACAAAAGTGACTTTGTGCTTTAATTAATAAACCCCAATCAGCATGATATCCTGTGTTCAATGCACGCATGACTGATTTTTTTTTTCGCTGGGAATTCCCTGTAAAAATGTCTAATGCTGCAAAAAACGGCAAAATGTACGTCACAAACGATTTTATGGACCTCTATCTGACCCATAAAAAAAAAATTTTTTTTGGTAACAGAAAGCTATATGGCTTTCGGTTCTCCTCTAAATGGAACCTGCTTGATTAAGACTCTTTCTTATGGAATACTGGATATCCTAAAGTTGTTGCTGATATATGCTCTGGGATTGATCCCTGCTCCAGAGGATTCGACTCCTCTTATACTCTCATCTCCATACGACTCTCCACATAGGAAAAAAACAAGATCTATACATGGTGTTTATATCCTTTATTAAAGATTGGCTTTATTTAGACTCCAAGTTTACACAACGTAAAATTGTGGGTGCCAACATTTCTTTTACTACTTCAAAAAAAGCTTGTTATCACAATGTAGTACCATTTGAGGTCCTCCACTGACTGTAAGAGGCATGCACCCGTGGTCCGGCAAACGAACTGACTCCCTCCGAGTGACGTTGCAGTCCCACCCCTACGCGTTACGCCACTGGTCACGTGGCTTCATCAGGGTGAATCAAATCCCCCTGATCCCAAATTATAAGTCCAATTGTCATAATTGTGGCCATATATATTTTTCTTTACCATTCTAATGGTTTCACCCATGTAGCAGGCTCTGCAGGTACACACAAGTATATTAACCACTTGCCGCCCTGCCACTGTAGAAATACGGCGGCAGGGCGGCACGGGCAGGCAAAACCACGTTTTAAAACGTGTGTTTTGTAAACAGATAGGGGGCACGCGCGAGGCGCACCGCCGCCCTATCTGTCCCGCCGATCACCGCCGCGGATGTCAGTCGCCGGGTCACAGCCAGTCCTTACCAGCTGTTTCCCGGCGATCGGCGGCAAACAGTGACAGACAGCACAGCTGCAGTAGCTGTGCTGTCTGTCACTTCCCTGACAGCTCGAGGACGAGCTGATCGAGAAAGAAGAGTTTCTCTCTTGATCAGCTGTGTCCCGTGCAGCACACCCCCCCCTCCTAGTAAAACACTCCCCTCACACAGATAACCCTTCCCTGCAAAATAAAGTTAACCCCTTCCTCCCGAGTGCCATTAGTACAGTGTCAGTGTTTTTTTTTTATGCACTGATCACTGTATTAGTGTTTTTGGGGATGTCAGTGACCCCAAGTCAGTACCCCCCAATGTCAGAATGTCCGCCGCAGTCCTGCAGTCCCGCCATAAGTCGCTGGTCGCTGCCATAAGTCACTGATCGCCGCCATAATTCGCTGATCGCCGCCATTATTAGTATTAAAAAAAAAAAAAATCCCCAGTATCTTTCCCACCATTTGTAAACGCTATAACTTTCACGTAAACCAATTAATTTACACATATTGTTTTTTTTTTCACCAAAGACATGTCGCAGAATGCATTTTGGCAGAAATTTATGACTAAATTTGATTTTTGCATTTTTTTTACTGGACATGTTTTATAGCAAAAAGTCCAAAATATTGTTTTTTTTCCCTCAAAATTGTCAGCCCTTTTTTATAGCGCAAAAAATAAAAACCGCACAGGCAATCAAATACCACCAAAAGAAAGCTCAATTTGTGGGGAAAAAAATATGTAAATTTCATTTATGTACCGTATTGCATGACCGCGCAATTGTCCGTTAAACTAGCGCAGCGCTGTATAGCAGAAAAATGGCGTAAATTGCAGTATTTATACCATAGTTTGTAGACGTTATAACTTCCACACAAAGCAATCAATATACACTCATTGGGATTTTTTACCAAAAACTTGTAGCAGAATACATTTTGGCCTAAATTTATAACCAACTTTGAGTTTACTATATATTTTTTATAGCTGAAAGTAAAAAATATTGTTTTTCTTCAAAATGCTTGGCCTTTTTTTGTTTATAGCGTGAAAAATAAAAAGCGCACAGATGATCAAATACCACCGAAAGAAAGCTCTATTTGTGTGAAAAAAAGGACATAAATTTTGTTTGGGTGCAGCATTGCATGACCGCGCAATTATCAGTTGAATTAGTGCAGCGCCGAGTAGCAAAAAGAGGCCTGGTCATTAAGGGGGGTAAATCCTCTGGAGCTCAAGTGGTTAATAACATCCTGCATCTCACAGGCGATAGACTAATGTCACTTAAGTAACTTACCAATGAATAAGTAAAGTATCAATTTCAATTATGAAATTTCAACAATCATATTTGCTATACTTTCTAACCCCTGTGCTCCCTAAAACCTGTGTAGGTTCTTTATGTG